AGGATACAATTTTCAATGGTAAATAACCAACCTTGAAAGCACGTTGGTAACAATATTTATTCCGTTTAACACGGAGTAGTAAAGCTTTCGCCACCAATATTATCCACAAGGTCTTTCGGGTTAGATCGTGTAAATAGAAATGTGTCGTCAAACCTGCCACCACCCGACAGCCAATTCGTGAAAGTTTGTCACAAACAAAACACGCCAATTCGTTACTAGTTCAACACACCGGTGTGTTGAGAGTAAACTCTGCTGATTAAAACAATAGTAAACCCCATTGTGTTGGTTTACTCTCCAACATACCGGTGTGCTGTACTAGTAACGAATTGGCGCGTTTTGTTTACGTGACAAACCTTACTAATTGGCTATGTTGGGTGGTGGTGGGTTTAACGACACATTTAAATGTACGCGATCTAACCCAAAGAAACCTCTATCATGGAGAATATGTTTTGTTCATTGCAAGATAAACATAACAAATACATTTCTATTGCTTGTAGAATTAGTACTCTTTGCTGTTGCTATTACTGTATTCATGATAGCAAAAGTATATTCTGTTTTGCTACAGAACATAAATATATTGGGCATTCATAACAGGTCCCTGCAGGGTGGGCTGGTAGGAACATTGGAATTTTGCGCAATTACACCCCAACAGCACGAGATTTCACTTCGTTAAAGTATTGAAAGGGGACGGACGGACGGACACATTAATCTATTGCAGGCTGGTACACTCAGTTTACAACTTCGTTCCTACCAGTATAATTCATGGGAATATACTTAGCACGTGCTGTTAGCATAAAAACACAAGTCACACACAAAGGGTGACTTTACAGTCGACGATGTGGACATCACTACAAGCAAGACTAATATGTTAAATATAAAACGTCCATAAACACACACAATCGAAATAAACCCATGTACGTAAAAATACACAAGATCACATAAATACACAACGGAACATATAACCGTTAACCAAATAAAACGTGGACACGCTTTCACAGACGCACCAAAAAAATGCACCATGAAACAAAAATGTGTAACCGCACACACATTGCCAAGTACGAACATGTTAACAAGTCTTCAAACGGAATTACTTATGAAAAAATTTAATATATTTTTAACTAGCACATTTATAAATAGCGGCGATGCGAGATATGCCTCACCAAAGCGTACCCAGCTGCACCCGCTGACAAACGAGGCAAGAGAGAGGTGTCACCTGAGATACCCTTCCTGCTTTACACGTTTCTCCCGGGATCACTTTCACCACCACTAACTACCACAACTAGCACGTGTGACAAAAAAACACCCATCACCAGGCTGCCACGCTATTTCTTTTTTCCAATTTCACCCATCAAGAGGGCGAAAGGGGGGGGGGGGATCTTTCGGAATTCCAAAAGCCAACAAAGCATCACATGACCCAAGTGAACGGTTTCCGAAGGCAGTACCAGAGACAACTTTTTAATTATCTTCAAATGGCCAACTTTATCCAACACCAGAGATTGCGCTAGTTTTTTTGTGTTCGGTAAAGAGAAGTTACCTGGATGTCAAAGCACCTAATATGTTCAGTCAATCTTTACCCCCAAAAACAGGACTAGGCCAAAATAAGAGAATGTCAGCAGAGTTTACTCTACTTAACACTGATAGAAAAATTGCAATTTAAATGTTTTGTTTACTTTTACAGAGCTCCGTAATGAGAAAGGCGTGAACAAACCATAACGAGAAATCCTAGCTCTGGAACCATAACCAGATAACGATACCCTCATCTTAACCTGAATGCATGACTGCATTAGACCGTACACACAAACTAAACGTTTTCTCATTGCTACGAAATTAAGGATTACTTTGCTGTTCGAGTCATTCGTTCTGATTGACGTTTACAACTTAAAATGGTCGCTCAAAGCATGGGGGGGGGGGGGGTTGGTGGGACTTCAAACGATGGAAATGGCGTTACTGCGTTGGAAGCCGACTGCAGCTCATTTTCAAGCCCGTCATTTCAAGGCGCTGGTTTAGTGCTTGGACATGGGAAATGTAATCTCTGAGCCTGTGATAGCTTATATTGTTAACAGATTGGTAGGTTAAGCGATACACATTTCACCAGGCCACACACCACACACTCAACGATGTACTCTCAGGTCGTGCGCCAATTGAAAACAAAAAAACCTGTTTCTAAAAATACCACGGTACAGATTTTCATAATTCTCAAGCAAAACAAACACTAAGTGAAGTGTTGACACCAAAAACCACACGCGTACATAAATGCATGCAGCAAGTGCCACCTTAATCCTGTCACCAGAACACGACAAAAAAAAATAAGCTCTATCTCTAAACCACCTGTCCCACTCCATGGCACACGAGCATGTACGCATTCAGCAAGCCCATTTTCCATCCAAGTTCAAGTCGTAAAAAGGCTGATCCCCAACCATCGTAACCCGGGCAAGATGCTCAACCACAGAAAACAACTCAGCGAGGCTGTGATTTTGACGAAAGCAGACATTTGCTTTGCCGGCTCAATAGGCACTCGCTAACAGCATTCGTCTGGACCATGTGACCAGCTTAATAAACAGCGGCCCTGTTTGCGCTTACGCGTGTACACATGTGTGTGCAATAATCGTTACCCACGCATCCTCCCGTCAGCTGTAATTATAGTAATTGTAGCTGCCAAGCACTATGCACCATGTTAGTACTCGCATGTGCATAGATGCAAGCTTCCATACCCTACCCTGAATGCAAACAAATAAAATACCAAGAAACATTAATGAAACCCAGTTCCTTAATTGAACGTTAAAAAGTTAAATTATGTTTATTTAGGTTTTTTTTACTTAGTTGTAAAACTTACAATAGATGATAACATCTGTGGGGAGGCCACGCTGCTGGTCGATAAGATTACAAGGGAAAGTATCCTCACATGCATTACATAGGCGCTTACGACGGCGTCACTGTGGCGAGATGTTAACTACCTCGCCCGGTATACGGGAGGTTGTGGATTCGATCCTGACCCTGACGCCTGCTGAATATTTGGAGTTTGCGTGTCTCTCTCCCCGTGGTCACATGCATTTTTCTCCGGGTCCTACGGTTTTTCCCTCCACATTTAGAATCAACATCACGCGTTCAGAGTATTTGACTGCTTGAAATTTCCAGGTCATAAGCCACTTCGTTAAGCTGTCACTTGTGGCCAGGTCGTTTCTGAAAAATAGCTATACAGGTAGGTGGGTCTTACATGGTAAACTAAAACTTGTTTAGGTTTGATGAGTTCTCGTCTCTCTTCTTCTTGTTGTATTTACCTCCGTACAGTTTAACGTTCTCTATGTGCTACGCACGTGATGTCCCCCCACGCGCTTCCTCACTATTTGTTTTACACCTGATGATGATCGCTTGTGTTGCGTTCGAAACGTCGTGATTTATTATTTCAATAGAATTTTCTACATACGTGACTTTACCAATGAGTATAGTAATTTATGCAGTCACGAAAGCTTCAATTTCTATATTAAAACTTGTTTAGTTTAGTAATTTCACAATTCAACATTGCTGCTGTCCTTCCTGGAGTTCGCCGATCTAAGCGCCACTTTCCCCACAAACAATACCCACGAACGTTATCCACATTCATCACAGTTTCACACGTGGCTCACAACATTATCCAATCATCACATGCTAACGAAATACAAAACGCAACAATTATACGATTATACCTTCCCAAAACTTTCCGTTTGGTCAGTGTCAAGGCACCAACATGAGCAAAATATTTCTCTCCAAAATGAGGCGGTGCTCATCTCATTGTAAAAACATCACACAAGATTAGGAAATTCAACATTCTCGAGTGTCTCCACAGGCTGTTGACGTCCCCACAAAGTGGTACTTAATTTATCGGACTCGGAGGAATGATGGGCCGAGTCAACCCCCAACAAGGATTTTAATTCTCAACTTTCTGATTGCTCTACCGCTGAGCCACCAGGCCAGATGCCAACGTACACAGTATACTAGACTGTACTTCTAAAATGAGAAACCGGTATGGGCCTTTGACCGTGACTGGTTAAATCACTTTGTTCGCCGAGGATGGTTCATAAATGTATAAGTGTTTATCACGGGGTGAACAGCAATGGAGAACTTTCGGTTGACCCTGCTGTGTCACCAAACTAATCAACCTCCAGATGGCAAATTTCTAAGGTTTTGGGCTTTGGATTTTTTATAGACTTAAGCGTAAACTCCACTTGAATTGCGTAAATGTCGTTATTATAGTCCTTCTGGAACATTACTAAAATGTAAATGAATCTATCCCATCACAAAAAACTACAATCGCCAATAAACGATATTTTAGGCAAAGTCCCTTCTTCACAGCACGTGAAATCAATCTACTCCCTTATGACTGTTTATATGTATATGCCACCGTGCTCCCACAATGCACTCCTGCTAGGATATCATTTTTTCCTCAATGATTCCTGATGACCGAGCTCTGATCCATGCAACGATGATATCATGTGTAGGTAAGCGACTAAGTGGGGGGTATCTGTGAACAACACACTGTGGTGCTTTTCCTTGCACCACATTTACGTCAAGTGACATGCGGACATATCACGGTCAAATATAACAAATATGGACAGGTCCCTGCAGGGTGGGCTGGTAGAAGTTCGCAAATGAGATAATGTGACTTCCAAATGTTGGGTGCAATAAGACATGTCAAGTCTCTGCGCTGTCTATTGCTGATTTTACACCCAACAGCACGAGATTTCACTTCGTTAAAGTATTGAAAGGGGACGGACGGACACATTAATGTATTGCAGGCTGGTACACTCAGTTTACAACTTCGTTCCTACCAGTAAAAATATATATAATAACCGCATCACGTGACGAAGAAAAGGTTTGGTCACGAGACTTCGTGCACACATGTACAGAGGGCAAGATGGTTAAGTCGTGATACGCAAATGAGTATTTTTCGTGCGGGTTTTTCGAGCGGTGCACACGGTGACCGCTGTGTTTGCGAGCGCCGCGTGCTGGTGCGTGTGCTGCACCTGCTTCTCGCTGAGTGCCGTGATGCGCGCCTGCCGTTCGTGCAGCTGCTTCTTCAGCTCCACGTCCTGGCAAATGGACACGCACAGGTAAATGGATGTGGCCCCACACACTCCTGGTGGCGACACCCAGACTCTAAAACAAGCTTTGCTCCGGTCACCCTCGCAGCGCCGGCTTTTAGCTGGCAATCGAACATACATGGAGCATTGGGGGTGTGAATATCCGTGGCACAACGCAGACATACATTGAGCGGCAGGAGTGCATTGTGATGTGAGACTAATGCACAGTACATGTCATGAAAGTTACTGCATCGCGGGCTTTCAGATATGCTTCTGCGGCCGTCTGAAACGCTGTTCCTTCCGATATTAGAAAGCCAGTGGAGCTACGCACGTTTAAATCTAGATTGACACACATTCCTTTAGAACTGCTTTTTGTGTTTTGTTTGTTGCCCTTCCACCATCACCTCCAATGACCATGGTTAGCTACGTATGGTGCAAAAGAAGTTCAACGTACACACAGACATACAAGCTTGGACTTGGACACAGATGGACCTGAATGCACATGGTCAAGAACGAGCGCAAAAATTAACAAGCGTAAACATGAACCCACAAATAAGTACACGTGGACAGGAACAGACAGATTTCAAACACTAAAATGATTAAGCCTTAGTTGTCAGCGCCTCCATAATTGTCATATTTAAATATGAACACAGCCAAACTCTACCACACAAGGATATAAACTGGATCCATATTTTAACAAACCCACGTGAACATACATAGAAATGAACAGACACAAATGTCGAACAACAAAGACATGATCATATATTCATTAACAAATATATATAAACAGGGCTATGGGTTTAAAATATGAAAACATACAGATTTGGACACGCACACAGATGTGCTACAAAAAGGGCACACAAACAAACACAACCCCCCCCCCCCCCCATATAATCTGTAAGAGACTGTTGGGGCAAGTGCAGTTAGTGAATAGCACCTATGAAGGCCGGCACGGCACACTAGGAGGTGGATGGCCAACACCACGCCTGGCCGCCTCTATCTCCCCAGTGGTGATATTTAACACACCAGGTACTCATTTTAGGCTTAGTCGACCTAGGGGAGGCCCAGGACCAGTTCAGATAATCGACACTGGTGTTGGCCGTGAGCTGAAATCAAACTCGGGTTGTCGGTTTTGTAGTGCAGCGCGCTAACCGCTACACTACTGCTCCCATACACAGGTGTAAAGAGGTGCGATAAAATAATGTGTAAAATATTTTACTGAAAGTTTCAAACATGACTTAACAGTTTTTTTTATATATACTAACCTGTGGATCCTGCTTGATCTGTGACACCAGTTTCTAAAAAGAAATAAATCTGAATTATAACTACGTAACATTCACATGTTAACAATAACTCTGCTGTATGTAAATTCGTGTTTTGGATTTTGTGCTTACATACACAATACACTGTGTTATGGTAATATAATTAGGCAGGTAGAGAATTGAAAGTTAGCAGTAGCAATGCTTTGAAATCAGCTGTCAATGCAAAGGAAATAATAACCATCTTTTGGAGCCACCAACAAGCCCTGTACTATATTAACCATTTTAAGTTGTGGACATCAATTTAATTTTTTTAAAGTTTGGTTTGTGTACAGGCCAATGCAAAAATACATGCCTTAGGTCAAGACTAAGACTAGGATCTGATTGTGTAAGGCATTAAATTTATAATAAAATGCTGTGTGTGTAGATAAAATAAAGGACTAGGTTTATGGTGTGCTTTTGGGAAAACCAGTGTAGGTTTACAGCATGGAAGGGGGTGCAATTATAACTTTTGAATAGAGAATAGGCAGATAAGCATACAACAGAGAAGAACTGGGAAAATGCAGATGATCGTTGTATTTATGTTGTTGGCTTCAGGTATGCATATGATTATGTTAGGAATGAAGGAGAATGACATTTTCTAGGTGGTTGTGGGATTCCAGGTAAGATAAGCAGACTGCTTAAGAAATTGTACCATGGGGCTCAGAGGTGCGAGGAGGAGAAATATCTGAGTGACTTATGGCATCGATGTTTTGCGCATTGTTCTGCTCGACTGGGTATTTTATGAAACTATGGACAGTTTATATGGCATTACATCCATGGGTGACAATGGAGACGTATGTGGTTGGTTAGGTAAATGCAGTTTGTGATAGTTTTAGACATCGAGGCCAAGGTATTAATCATACAGTAAGACTCGTGTTAAGACTGCGGTCTTAACGTGAACTTACATAAAAAGGAAGTGTATATGTATGGACTGCATACACCTCGATCTGAAATGTCAGTCGAAGACTGTGGAAGAAGTGAGACTATGGAGGCAGTAGAGAACTGTGCATGTAATAATGGCAGCGATGTGCATACTACATAGAGAAATCAAAAGAACTTCATCAGCACAGATATATCGTTGTTGGACTTTATGAACCACTTTGAAAGAGTAAAGACATCCAATTTAGTGATGGGTGTTTGAGGCAGGAGTAATATCCTTGTTTCTGTATGGGCCAGAGTAAAGTTGAGTAGGCCACATATACAGAAAAAAGTACAGTTTGCCAAGACAGGCATTGGGAGTGGGATTCTGGAGCTCAGCGACTAAGGGGAAAAGAAAAATCTGAATAATGGGCAGGTCTACGTGCAGATATTAAAAGGTGTCAAATTTTCAACTGTGGCCTGCAGCCGAAAGAAGCAAAGGTGAGGGTTGAAAGCATCGCCGGTAATGAGGTAGATAAGCGCTAAATTAAACGATCAATAACATTTCGCCCTTCGAAAAAGATTCGAGCCTCGTGCGAGAAAGGGATGACTCAAACATGTCTGGAGTTTGTGGCTACGATGACAACATTTTTGAGGTCTGAGATGCGGTTAGGCTTAGTCGAAGAGTCTAGCATCGGATTTAAACTAATATTTCGGACTAACGTTAAAACCATAAAAAAAATGCTTGTTTTAAAGTACAGGACAAGGGTTCATTCTAATTCAGAGTTCGGAATACTGATAATGTAAGGGTTAAATTGTATGGTTAACACTCTGGTCGTGGTTAAAACTCGAGCGAAAGCGGACTTGGCTCTGGTTCAGTTCATCACTGATATCACATTCACAAAATACAATTTTAATGTTGTAACACCTCGCAGTGGCATTACTGGATTTGCAGAAGGCAACGAGCTACTGCGACTTTCCCGCACGGTGACCGCGTATGTGACGGCTCTTGAACAATGAGCACAAGTTGAACAAATGGTCTTATTTTGGTTGACTGGCATCGCTGTGAAATCGCGACTTACACTATTAACATCAAATTCCCTCCCCCGTCGCCCCCTGGTGATCCCGGACTTTCACATCGCTCACACTCACCTGGTGTTGCTGAATTTCGTGCTTGAGAGCGTCTTGTAAGGTGTGAAGCTCCATCTAGGACCAAGGCATACAAACCCAATCAAGCTTAAGTGCGGCACACTACATTGTAAAACACACACACACCAAGTACCCCCCTATACAATGTCTTATCAGGCACGCAGACAATGCTAAGCGGGCAACTGCCGTATTATTCAAAGTGTAAATAGTTTCCGTGGCCGAGCGACGAATTATCGCTATCACTTGTCCTTCACAATGCGTACACAGCAGGACAAGTTATATATCAACGCACAACTAAAGAATGATTTGCGGCAATTTCCAGATTGATGCGCGATGCATTTAACGCAGTGCGTACGTCACGCACAGCGGTATCAAAGACGTGATTACGAACAACACCATTCCAACCCCCTTACTTTAGCCTTACTTTGTACAAATTATCTGCGCTAAAAAATATAAATGAGGTTGTACTGTACTCTTTCCTGAAAGGTGTGTTAAGAGTGCCAGTGCATTAACCCGATGCTCAACGTGCAATAATTATATTTCTTATTCACAGGCTGGAGATACAAAAAAAGCGTCAACTAAATTAACTCTACCCGGATAAACCCGGTTAAACGTGTGGGGGGATGTTGGTTTCAAAGCGTGAAAATCGTCTCTCCCTCTCTCTCTCCTGGCCAAATAAAGCGACCCTGTTGTTGTTGATTGAACGCAAGAGAACAGCGCGCATCACACCCATCAACAGTTTTCGTGACTTCGGTCTGGAGCGAGCCTGTAGACTAAACGCGTCGCTGGGTTTTTGCTGATCTCCTCGTCCCAGCGACGCTGCTGCTGCTGGGTGGTGGTGGTGATTGTGTGGACTGCTGCTGGGTGGTGGTGGTGATTGTGTGGACTGCTGCTGGGTGGTGGTGGTGATTGTGTGGACTGCTGCTGCTGGGTGGTGGTGATTGTGTGGACTGCTGCTGCTGGGTGGTGGTGGTGATTGTGTGGACTGCTGCTGCTGGGTGGTGGTAGTGGTGATTGTGTGGACTGCTGCTGCTGGGTGGTGGTGATTGTGTGGACTGCTGCTGGGTGGTGGTGATTGTGTGGACTGCTGCTGCTGGGTGGTGCTTGTGGTGATTGTGTGGGGCTGCTGCTGGGTGGTGGTGGTGATTGTGTGGACTGCTGCTGGGTGGTGGTGGTGATTGTGTGGACTGCTGCTGCTGGGTGGTGCTTGTGGTGATTGTGTGGACTTGCTGCTGCTGGGTGGTGGTGGTGGTGATTGTGTGGGGCTGCTGCTGCTGGGTGGTGGTGGTGATTGTGGACTGCTGCTGCTGGGTGGTGGTGGTGATTGTGTGGACTGCTGCTGCTGGGTGGTGGTGGTGATTGTGTGGACTTGCTGCTGCTGGGTGGTGGTGGTGCTTGTGTGGACTTGCTGCTGCTGGGTGGTGGTGGTGGTGATTGTGTGGGCTGCTGCTGGGTGGTGGTGATTGTGTGGACTGCTGCTGCTGCTCGCCACCCCATGTTGCTGCCTTGCTGTTGTGTGGAAGCAGCTGTCTCGTCTGGAGAGCTTTGAGTTTTGGCCGTGTGCTCTTTGTGTTCCTCACGCTCACAGCCAGCAGCAGCAGCCCCCCTTTAGCCCCCCTTTTGTCAACCCAGCGTCGTGTGTTCTTTTTGTTGTTGCGTGTTGTTTAAATGCGCTAGATGTACGTGCGTGTCCTGGGGTTGTTCGTTGTTGTGTGTTCTACTGCATCGGTTGTCGGGATTGGTGGTTGTTGTGCGGGTTACATTTGTAGCGGATATGTTTCACGTTATTTCCCGTTAGCTCGATTTTTTAAAATATATATTTTGTTTAGAAGTCCCGTGGCGTGCCATTTTTTAATCATGTGCCGTCATTAATAACGCAATAGTTCACTATTGTGTCGCGTTGCCATGCATGTTGCCGCTTGTATTTACTTATTAAATCGCGGTGGCTTCGTCGTGGTAACTGTTTGGTCGTTGTGCGTGCGTGTGTTTGCCGCCTAGGTCGACTCGGCCTCAAATTAGTACACGTGTAGTAAACATCACCGCTGGGGAGACAAAGGCGGCCGGGCGTGGTGCTGGACACCCCAAATCCCCCCGTGTGTCACATTGCCGGTTACCTTCATAGGCGCTCGCTAACAGCACTTGCCCCAAAAGTCTGCCGCAGGCTACACGGGGGATCTTTGTTTTGACGTCAAAGTGCCGTTTAGACCACGGCCGCCGCTGTCATTTTACAATTCGTTGTTGTTGTTGCGATTGTTGTGTTGCGATTGTTGTTGTTGTTGCGTCTTTGACTGTAAACGGACGCGTGGGGTGCTTGCTTTAGAGTGTGCGTGGTGGTGGTGATGGTGTGTGCTCTGGGCTGAGGAGACGTTCGTGTTGTGGCTGGCGCGTCAACTGCACTGCTACTTACACCACCACTAACAACCACTACTTTGTGATCCTCTTTTGTTTGTAGTGGTTTCCCGGCTTCGCGAGGAGAAGAAAAAAACACCTCGACCGCACAAAAATCAAATCGTCCCCCTCACCACCACCACCGCCGCACGTGAAACGACAACAAAGCATATAAAACAATTCAAGTAAAAACAAGATAACATCCTTAACAATATAAATTACAGTCGCCGCGGTAACCCTGCAAAGATTACCGCCATCGGTAACACAAAAGGTGACGTTTGAGACCCCCCCCCCCACTCTGCCGCTGGTGTTATAATTATAAGCCCGTAGTAGTGCCGCTATAACGCATTATGATGACACTGTCACCGTGACATTAAAGCTTAAAGGGATATTCGCGAAACTGACTGCAACAATCAGAACGCGGAGACAGACGCGGGCAGCCACGCAAAACGACATGAACACCGTCAACAACACTCCAGCAATGAGGGCTACGTGAGTAAGAGTGCCTTAATCAGTGGCGACAGTAATAGTAATATAAATGATGAAGATACTAGTAATAATAACACAAAGGATTTTGGCCTCACCCGCTCCTCCCCCCTCCCTCCCTCCCGTTAACTTGGGCCCGAGCACCTCTTACCAAAACCCGCTCGCTCCTCTCCCGCCGTCCCCGACCTTCTGCCGCCGTCGAAACTCAACAAAGCGAAACCTCAGCGCGCTCGGCTACCGGCGACGGCGCCGCACAGACGGACGCAAGAGCGACGGCGCGCAGGTTGCGTGCGGTCCCGGCGGCTGCGAGCGGCTACGGGCGACGGCCGAGGGCAGCGGGCGGAGCAGCCAGGCGAGCGGGGCGCCTCGCGCTCCCCGACCAGGCCGCGGCGCACTACTTCAGCCGGCAACGCGGATGGGCTCGCGGCGCATCACCGCTCTGGCTCCGAACTCGCACTCGCCGTCTCGCTCCGCGCCCAGCCCCCACCCCCAGCTCCCCACTCTCATACAGCCCGCACACCCAGCCCCGCCCCTCACGCCCCTCCATCCCACACCCCCAGCCCCGCCCCTCGCTCCCCCTGCATCCGGACCCCCCCCCGCGCTCATCTCTCCCTTTCAACCCCGCCCCTCACTCCCCCTCCATCCCACACTCAGCCCCGCCCCCCACTCCCCGTCCCATCGTAGTCCCCGCCCCTCAACAACCCCCTTACCAGCCCCGCCCCTCTCCCCCTGCCGCTCCTCTTCACCAGCCCCGCCCTCTCGCCATTACCAGCCCCGCCCCCTGCTAGGTTCGCGTTGCCCCGCCCCCTGCTAGGTTCGCGTTGCCCCGCCCCCTGCTAGGTTCGCGTTGCCCCGCCCCCTTGCGTGCGGATTTTTTTTTATTCCGCCCCGCATACGATAATCGATTATCTATCATGGATAATCAATACTCTGTTATGGATAATCGATTATCTATCACGGAAAATAGGCATTATCATGGATAATCGATTCACTATCATGGATAATCTATCCTCGTATTGGCCAATCGATCCTCTATTATGGATAATCTATTCACTATCTTACATAATCGACTTTCTATTATGGATAATCGATACTCTGTATTATGTAAAATCGATTCGTTGCGACTTTCGAGTCACCACTCAGATCTGAAGCTTTCGTGACTGCAGGAAATAGCACAATAAATATATTACTCTTTGGTTCTTTCGGTAAAGTCACGTGGGTAGAAAAATAATCGACCACGACGTTTCGATCGCAACACAAGCAACCGTCATCAGGTGGGACAACCACAGCAAGAACAAACTGCTGAAGTGGGCGAAATTGAGATCTCAGGTCCATACTACTCAGATGTAAGAATCGCTTCCTTTCATCCGCTTCGCCACATCCCTCTCGAAGCCGGACCATCGAGGGGGCAATTCCGCTGATTGAGACGCAGCTGTCAACCCACGCGGCTTCTTTCCCCGAGTTCTTGTGCAGGGAAATCGAGTTCTCAGGTCCATACGGCGTACAGGCGTTTCATCAATACGGGCAGAGACATGTTTATGTTGTCCATTTGTTTGTGTGTCTCCCTTGTGATGGGAATTGTGTAGGGTGAACGTTGAGATTTATAAGGGGCACGGGGTGACCAGTAAGGTCTGAATTGGTCTGTGACAAGGTAGGGCACTGATAAGGGGTTGACAGGTATGTTTAGGGAATGTCCGATGAATTGCAAATAATACAGCGAATTGTTAGATAATCTAAACCTCCAGTACATTTACATGCAATTCACACCCAACGCATGTATGACCACAAATAAACGTACTAACAATTACAGATTGGCAACGTCATATTCCCAATGTAATAACACTCCAAATATAGATTTAAATGGATGACGTTCACGAGATTCGGGAAGGCTGAAGTGATTAATTAAAATAAGCATTTAGACCATTTCCTTTGGCAATTTCTATTCAGTATGTAAAGAAACGAGAAAGCATGAGTAAAGAGTTGGCCAAGGCGTCTAATTGAATGGTTTCACGGACCCATCAACTCACCCACCACGTGGCCTGCCGATAACATTCCAATATTCATCTGAATACATAAAATACATTTTAAATGTAATTGTTTATGTTTATAATGAATTAATTGTCCGCAGAGTAGTGCCATTCACAAGCGCATTCCAACATTCTGAATTAGTGGTTCACGATATGAATTGTTCATCATTAATAATTATTAAGCTATATCTCTAGATATTAACTTATATAGGGTGATACATATATAAATAGCATGCAATAACTATGGAGTATTAAAGCACAGACTGATTAAATTGTAAACTGCTCTTGATTACGTTAACCTTTACACACGAGTTAATGAGTGCTTCACGTAATTACTGCAGCCTATAACATTCTGCACACGCTACAATCATTGGTGGACATTTAATAAAAAATGAATCTACCTGCCGTTCATATGATCCTACGTGATACCGAATCCTCAATTCGCAACTTGCGATCAAAAGCTGCCATACGATTTATGAACTATCCACGAAAACCTATATTAGCATTCCAATTTCAACTAAGATATAATCTAAAACTAAATTACACTTTTTTAATCTTACCAGGTAAGGCAATCTGAGCTATTTTAGCTCCTTTTCAGAAGAGACCTGGCCACAAATGATAGCTCAATGAAGTGGCTTATCACGTGGAAATGTGTAGCAGCCAAATACTCTTAAACGCGTGTCTCTAAATGAGAAGGGAACACCGTGGTCGCGTGGATTTTTCTCCAGCTCCTCCAGGCCCTCCCCCCCTCCCCCCCACATTTAGAAACATGCGTTCACAGTATTCGTCGGCTATAAATGTATTTACCAGGTAAGGCCCACTGAACTATATAAGTAAAACAAAATTAGTTTTAAGCTCAACGAGCTCCATGTTGTGGCCATTTCGTCATGTTAGACCAGCAGACTCAAAGAGTTCAGAAGATGTGTAGAACCAAAAAGCAGTGGTGAAACAAAGACCCAACTGTAGGCTGGATTCGTCCTGATTAGGATTCATCAGTGCAATGTAGTCATCAATGTTCGCTGTTGCTGCCATATGCCTCTGTGAGCCTCGTATATGGAGAAGGCTTTATATGCTATAGGAATCTATATCCGCACTTTCTTAAATAGTGTATAACAATAATTAACATCCGTACATGACGGGAAAACCCATCACAACAGAGACATCAGTGCAGGGCCTCATGTGAAGACGTGGCAACAGTAGCAGCAAGCGCTGCACAGGCACCGATATCTTGTTTACATCACTGATGGTGCTGTCGTTGATGCTGTTGAATTGGTGAAAGTGTTCTGTCGAAGACAGGTTGATAATGTCAATAAAATGGGTGATACTATCAATGTGCTTTTGCGTTTTTATATATAAACTATTTATACATTCTCATTAACTAAGTCGCGCAACATTCTGGCGAGTAAACAGTCTATTTAGGAGCATGCATCTTCATATAAAACTCCGCAACAGTTTGTCCAACTGCGAGTTAGTTTCACACGTCGGCTTTCGTGACCAATATCCATAATAGAGTTTTTTTGGGGTTAGATCACGTATATATGTGATGTTAAACCCGCCACCAGCTGACAGCCAATCTGGCTGCCGCCTGATGATGCTGGCTGTAATTACTGGTGAAACGTCGTTACTCGAATTGTAAGTGTTGTGGGTTTACTCTCCAACACACCAGTGTGCTGTACTAGTAACGAATTGGCACGTTCTGTTTACGTGACAAACCTTACTAATTGGCTGTGTCGGGTGGTGGCGGGTATAACGACACATTTATATTTTTACTCGATCTAACCCAAAAAAAACCTCTATTAAGGACAACTGCTAGTTATTGGTTAGAGGGAAGGTCAGTAATCATTTATGACGACGGAGGGCAGGGTGCGTTGTACATGATAGATCAAATGCACATGGAGTAAGTTGTCCTCGTTTTTCCATTACCAAATAGAAATAGCAATGCGCTCACACGCACATTAAATGCCGGGTGTATAATTGTAGAGAGAAGAATAATAGTCCTCCACAATTAAACACACACACATTAAATGTTGCAATGTGTTAATTCAGATTTTAATATAAGACTGATGTCATACCGGTGACGAAACGTGCTGGCAGTTGTATTATGTTATTGCGTCCGGCAGCTAAATTTTCAGGAGCGATATGCCAATGTAGAGTTCTGTTAGCCAGGAGAGAGTTCGCCTGGCTATCGCCACTCCTCCGTTTAAGAAGAAGAAGAAGTTTGGGTGGCATGGCCAGAGTCGCACTCCGTGGCTTGTCTTTAATAACGCATTCTGTGTATCTCAAACGAGCCCCAGTGTAGCTCTGTCTTCTTTCTGCGTGTTGATGAACTGAGTGGCAACGATGAGGTCTGCTGCTGCTGCTGCTGCTCGCCACGACGAGAGAGAGAGGGCTTCAGGAAACTCGAGTTGGTGTCGGTTTCGCCGTTCCTCCTCCGTTGAAGGAGCGCGCGACTGACACGCTTTACTATACGGGTGAACTATACGGGTGAACTATACGGGTGAACTATACGGGTGAACTATACGGGTGAACTATACGAGTGAACTATACGGGTGAACTATACGGGTAAACTATACGGGTGGACTATACGGGTGAACTATACGGGTGAACTATACGGGTGGACTATAAGGGTGAACTATACGGGTGAACTATACGGGTTGACTATAAAGGTGAACTATACGGGTGAACTATACGGGTGAACTATACGGGTTGACTATAAGGGTGAACTATACGGGTGAACTATACGGGTTGACTATACGGGTGAACTATACGGGTGAACTATACGGGTGAACTATACAGGTGAACTATACGGGTGAACTATACGGGTGAACTATACAGGTGAACTATACGGGTTGACTATAAGGGTGAACTATACAGGTGAACTATAAGGGTGAACTATACGGGTTGACTATAAGGGTGAACTATTCGGGTGAACTATACGGGTGAACTATACGGGTGAACTATACGGGTGAACTATACGGGTGAACTATACGGGTGAACTATAAGGGTGAACTATACGGGTGAACTATAAAGGTGAACTATACGGGTGAACTATACGGGTGAACTATACAGGTGAACTATATGGGTGAACTATACGGGTGAACTATACGGGTGAACTATACGGGTGAACTATACGAGTGAACTATACGGGTGAACTATACGGGTAAACTATACGGGTGGACTATACGGGTGAACTATACGGGTGAACTATACGGGTGGACTATAAGGGTGAACTATACGGGTGAACTATACGGGTTGACTATAAAGGTGAACTATACGGGTGAACTATACGGGTGAACTATACGGGTTGACTATAAGGGTGAACTATACGGGTGAACTATACGGGTTGACTATACGGGTGAACTATACGGGTGAACTATACGGGTGAACTATACAGGTGAACTATACGGGTGAACTATACGGGTGAACTATACAGGTGAACTATACGGGTTGACTATAAGGGTGAACTATACAGGTGAACTATAAGGGTGAACTATACGGGTTGACTATAAGGGTGAACTATTCGGGTGAACTATACGGGTGAACTATACGGGTGAACTATACGGGTGAACTATACGGGTGAACTATACGGGTGAACTATAAGGGTGAACTATACGGGTGAACTATAAAGGTGAACTATACGGGTGAACTATACGGGTGAACTATACAGGTGAACTATATGGGTGAACTATACGGGTGAACTATACGGGTGAACTATACGGGTGAACTATACGGGTGAACTATACGGGTGAACTATACGGGTGGACTATACAGGTGAACTATACGGGTGAACTATACGGGTGAACTATACGGGTGAACTATACAGGTGAACTATACGGGTTGACTATAAGGGTGAACTATACAGGTGAACTATAAGGGTGAACTATACGGGTTGACTATAAGGGTGAACTATACGGGTGAACTATACGGGTGAACTATAAGGGTGAACTATACGGGTGGACTATACGGGTGAACTATACGGGTGAACTATAAAGGTGAACTATACGGGTGAACTATAAAGGTGAACTATACGGGTGAACTATACGGGTGAACTATACGGGTGGACTATACGGGTGAACTATACGGGTGGACTATACAGGTGAACTATACGGGTGAACTATACTGTGAAACTATACGGGTGGACTATACGGGTGAACTATACGGGTGGACTATACGGGTGAACTATACGGGTGGAATATACGGGTGAACTATACGGGTGAACTATACGGGTGAACTATACGGGTGAACTATACGGGGTCCGTCGTTTTTGGAACGTGTGCGTAATTTCTGCAGACAAAACCACGGCTTTTGCATGCTACGGTCCATGCAATGCGGGATTTAAATACTGTATATACATGACCAAAAAACCCCCACCCCATCGCAACAAACAAAAACATCACAAACAGCGACGCTTAGAAACAGTACGTGTGTCAGAAGAAGCGAGTGATATGGGTGCCCGTGTGTGTGTTTCGCGTTATGCCAGTAGCGCAGCGGTGAGCGCTACGCTGCGCTACGAACCTGGCGAGCCGGATTCGATTCGCGCTCACGGCCAACACCAGCAGTGGTGAATATCTGACCCGGTAACCTGGGCCTCCCCTAGGTCGACTCGGCCTCAAAATGAGTACCAGGGTGCTGTGTGTAGTAAACATCGTCACTCGGGAGACAAAAGCGGCCGGGCGTGGTGCCGGCCACCCACCCCCTCGTGCGCCACCGTGCCGGCCTTGGTAAGCGCTCGCTAACAGCACTTGCCCCAACAGGTGGCCAAGGCTACACGGGGGATCTTTGTTTGCGTTCTGCCTGTGTTGGCGGGTCGCGCACGCACACCGCGGGATGATCATTGTAGCCTGCTCTGCATTTCCTGGTATACCTGGCCGAGCGAAGCGTGCAATCGTAGAGCGGCGTTTGTCGTAGCAAAAACAACAACAACCTGCAGCTTTCACCTGCATCCCACGCTAGCGGAGGGTGGCGAGAGAAGGGAGAGAACAGGACGGGGGTGGTGGTGAGTAACTTACAGGGGCTCTGCAGCGCTTACCCCACGCAGCACGATTTGGGAGCACGCATTGTTCGTGCGCCTTTCAACTGACACGCACGCGCGCGCTCGCCTTAACGCTCGAAATGTATTCACAACCACAGCACGAGTCGTGCACGACTTAACAGCTGCAATATTATTTCCGCAACCTCCGATCGGCTACGTACGGCGCGAAAGAAGCGTCGGCACACGTGCACACTTTGGGGTGCATTCTTTTGGGGTCAGATCGCGCGCAGTCAAATTTGGTGTCGTGCACCCTCCTCCACCGGACGCGGCCGACTGACGACGTTCCGACACGTGACATTACTGGGGGGAAGTCCTCAATGATTGCCCCCCACGAGATCTGACGAAGAGGAGCTTCGCTCCGTCTATGGGTCTCTGCGTGTCCGTGGGTCTGTGTGCGCGTATGTGGGTATCTGTGTGTGTATGTGGGTTTTTGCGCCTGTCTGTGGCTTTCTCTGTTCGTCTCGGGGTCAATCTGTGAGTCAAATAAATAAAAAAGATGAATCCTTGATCCCTTCTGGATCAAGGATTTTCACTCCCATCACCGCGTTCCACCTGCACCAAGTGGCGATGTTTACACACCGCACCAGGTACTGATTTGAGGCTGAGTCGACCTAGGGAGAGGCCCAGGACCGGTTCAGATAATGATCACTGGTGTCAGGCCATGAACGGGGAATTGAACTCGGGTCGCCGGGTTTGCAGGGCAGCCGCGCTAACCACTGCGCCACCGCTCCCCACACCCCCCCACTCACTCACCCCCCCACTCACCCACCCCACTCACCCACTCCTAACCCCGCCCCAGCCCCTTTAAAGGAGCCGGCGGTCGCGTCTGCAAGGTAGCCAGAGTGAGTGAGAGAGTGAGAGAGAGAGGGCCAACGCAGATATTGAAAGTTCGGGGTCGAGATAAGGGAGCGTTGTGCGGGTGAAGGGGGCTCGGCCGCTTGTTGCGGAGAGTAACGCGGCGAGGAGAAGGGAGCTCGCCGCCAAGGGGGAGAGAAACGAGAGAGAGGGGGGATCAGGAGAGAGAAGCGAGGAGGAGGAGGAGAGTTCAGGACGATCGAGGGATCGTTGGGATGGGTCGACTCGCAACGGGGCTCCTGCCGCTGCTCACGCTGGCGATGGCTGCCACCTCGCTCTCCCACGGCAAACTGGGTGAGTCACGACGCACACGCAACAACAATAAAAACAACAACAACCGCCGTTCGCCACCAAATAGCGGTGATGTCACCACGGTTCTTGTGCCAGGCCATGTGCAGCTTTGAGGCCACGTGAAGTGTCAAAGGCTCGCGCACACAAAGACAAAATTCCCCCTTCCGTCTGAGCCTACATCAGACCGTTGGGGCAAGTGCTGTCGGGACGAGCTCCTTGTAGCTACGTGGGCTATGTAGGTCGTGTTTGCGAGCACCTATTATGTACGCATGTTGAACTTTTTCGCACGGTACGTAGGCAACCGCGCTAATCGGAGGTTCCGGGAAAGTGACGGCAAACTGAACACGAGCGTGTGAGTCGGTGCTCACGACGCGATGGTGGTGTAGACTGGTCTTGGGGAGCCAGTGATGGAAATTCCACATTCCTGCGACGAGGGAGAGATTATACCCCCCACAGCCACTGTTGACTTCCCTACAGCGGTACTCATTTTATCACCCCAAAGGGATCCTGGGCTGAGTCACCCCCGCCACGCCCTCAACCTGGATTTGCGGTGTAGTCATTTGATAGATGTACATTGTGTTGAAACTTCTTTCGCACCGTACGTAGCCCGACAAACAGGCTTGCGGCTCGGAGCTTGCCAGGGTCACGTGGGTGGCAGTGCTCCAATGTCCCATCTGCTGCCCCAACACAATCCAACAAAATAAACAAATTTTCCTATAATTTATTTTACCAGGCAAGACTCGCTAAGCTCGTTTTCAGAAGCGGCTTGGCCACAAACGATCGCTTGACGAAGTGGCGGCTCATCATCATCACGTGGAAATTTGCAGCGGCAAAAGTCTCTAAACGCACGGTGGTTCTAAATGTGGCGGGGAAAACCGGAGGATCCGGAGAAAAATCCACGCGAGCACGGGGAGAGAGAAAGCGAGAGAGAGACGCGCACACTCCAAACGTACAGCGGGTGTCAGGGACACGCAAATATAACCCGCACTGACCCGCGTGGTGAAGTATGGTCACCCCCGCCCCCCGCGCCGTGTGAGCGGCGTAAGGGAGACCCTCACCACCACCACCACCATCATCATCGCCCATCAGTGAATTGACAACACGGCCTGTAGAGTGATGGCACGACGTGAGGCGTTGGGGCAAATCCGCGCATTGCCGGCCCCTCCAAGCCGCGCTCATTCTCACCACGCTGCTGCCGAGCCGGAGAGAGAGAGCGGGCGGGCGGGCGGGCGAGGCGGCAAGCGGACGCCTCAACCACGTTCACAATCCGGGCCGGATTACGGTGCACGAGGGGTCTAAGATGAAGTGGGGTAGGGGGCACATGTGGTTTACATATTGAGCTGATGGCTCCGAGAGCTTTCTGGGTCTTCGCGGCAAGTTGACGGCGGATAAATATCCGATTGCGTCCTGACCAATGGGGAGAGGTGGAGGTGGTGGATCGGCCACTGAACGGCACGGAGGGGAGCCCCTCTGGCCCTGGCTTGCGAACCGTCCGGAGCTTTCCTCGAATTCCCAAACGGCGCCCTTGGGACACGGCGGTTGCCAAAGACGGACGAAGAGGAGGAGGCTCTGCCGCTCTGCCGCGGTCGTGTTGCAAGGGCAGCCGCCACGAGGCTATGAGATGTTAACTACCTCGCCTGGTATGCAGGGGGTCGTGGGTTCGATCTCTACCCTGACGCCTGCTGCTGCTGTATATTTGGAGCTTGCGTGTCTCTCTCCTCGTGGTCGCGTGGATTTTCTCGGCGGGTCCTCCGGTTTTCCCCTCCACATTCAGAATCGACAGCACGTGTTTAGAGTATTTGGCTGCTCTGAGTAATTGGCTGCGCATAATAAGCCACTTCGTTGTCCAGATCGCTTCTGAAAAAAGAAGAGCCTGTTCGATAGCTCAGTGGGACTTGCCTGGTAACAAAATAAAGAAGTTGCCCAAGTAGCATCATTCAGGAGTGGTTGTCATCCTCCACCACGGAGGCTGGCTGACATCCGTGCCAGCCCCAGGGAAAGGTCAACTTGTTTCCAAGCCCGCGTTTGTCCACCTCTGCGATGTGCCATGCGCGCTGAGCCCCCCACCCGACTGTTACGAGACGGAAGCCTCCTGGGCGGTAGCTGGACACGCGATTTTACCCGGGCAACGAAAGGTTGCAACGAAAAGTTGCCTGCAACCAAAAGCACACGAGGCCGCACAAATAGGGTTTCTTCGCACTTGTTTATTTACGAAAGGTGGGTGCGTGGAATTCGATTTTTTTTAAATCTCTCTCTAAAAAAAAGCTTAAAACCAGTTTTTTTTCCTCCCTCCCTTCTCGGTTGAACTTGTTGATGCAACGCATGAGTTTCACATTCCTGCATACAAATACACAGACGTTAGTTCAACCAACATCGAGTTAGGACGTTTGTTCACTCTTGCGTGCGCCAAGTATCAATCGCCGCATTTGTGGGGGTTTTTTCCGGTACGTGGCGGTTTTCTGGAGAAAAGTTTCAAAGAAAACGGCAGCACCGCCACGTTACATTAAAAACAAACAACACACACACAACTCGGGCCTTGGGGCGATCGAAACGCCTTGTGTGAATCAGACCTTTGTGTTCCTTGAGTGTTGCGTGATGAGGAATTTGTTGTTTAACTAAAACGATGTAGATCGACAGGTTTATCCTTGTTGTAGGAAGACAATGACGGGTAGCCAGTCCTGTGGACACTGTGACCTGTGCCCAGCCACAGCGAGACCCCCCCCCCCCACTTCCCACACGAACAAAGATCCCTCGTGTAGCCCTAAGAGACTGTTAGGGCTAGTGCTGCTAGCGAGTGGCACACGTGGGGGTGTGGGTGGCCAGCACCACGCCCGACACCAACTCACCCCCACTCACCACCGCTCACCCCCACCAACAAACCACCACTCACCCTCCCACACTCATCCACCCGCACATACCCCCCGACACACCCACACACCCCCACTCACCCACCCTCATACTCCACCACTCACCCACCCTCACTCACCCACCCCCACACACCCCACCCACGCCCACACAACCCCACTCACCCACCCCCACACTCCATCACTCACCCACCCCACACTCCACCACTCACCCACCCCCACACACCACCACTCACCCACCCACCCCCACACACCACCACTCATCCACCCACCCCCACACACCACCACTCACCCACCCACCCCACACACCCCTACTCACCCACACACCACCACTCACCCGCCCCCACTCACCCACACACCACCATTCATCCACCCCCACACACCCCACTCACCCACACAACCCCATTTACCCACACCACCATTCACCCCTCCTCTGCTGTCCCTGGTGTTCGGGGGCGACGTCGACAATGGTCAGCTGCTCTGCTGGCTCGTCACGTGGCTCTGTGGAGCCACGCGGCAGAGAAAGCAATGGCCGCGTCGGATGCACAGAGCCACCGCTGCTTGGAGCAATCCGGATGAACGTTTTTCGCACTTCCAAGCGCAACGCGAGGCCACTCTTCCCGAAGCCTTCCTGCGCGCCAACTTCGACACCGCCATGCCACGCGCTTCTCATTTAGGGCGTTCTTGGAAACTCTCAAGAGGCCTCCTCGTTTGAGATTCCCAGATAGTGTCAGACCGGCGGTTGTGTTGGACTCGTGTGGCTGGTGCGGTTCTCGGGCACGTGAATGGCATACGAGCGGAACCACTCCAGATGGGCGAATGACCCTCGACGTTTGATGCCCGGCAGCCCTCGCAGGCGTCGTAGATGGAAGAAGTCGGCAAAACCGTTTGTCGCGTCGTCGGTGGCGAGTCCGCGTTTTTGGAACCCGGGCGGCAAGTGCCGCGAGGATTCACGGCAATTGTAAAGTTAAATTTCTGTTTGTGAATGGATTCCAGCACGTTTGCTTCCTGGAGCCGACGACGACGGGGGCGATGACGGGCCGTCGCTGGCTTCCTTGACCCGCGCGTCGCCTTGGTGCTGCTCTCTCGTTGCTTCACTCGTTCCGTGCTCTGCCCACGCAAAGTGAACTTGCTTGACGGCCTTAAGCGTGGGGCTTTCCATATGTCAGTTTAAGACGTATTTGGTTTTCGTGACCAATATGATCCAAAATCGAGGTTTTTTTGGGTTATATCGCGTAACTATAAATGTGTCGTTGTACACGCCACCGCCGGACATGGCCAATTAGTAAGTATTGTCACGTAAACAAAACATACGTGACAATACTTGCTAATTGGCTGTGGTGGCGGTTTTAACGACACATTATTATATTTACGCGATCTAACCCAAAATAAACCTCTACTATGGCTTTCCAGATGCATTGATGGGCCCTGTCGGGGTTCACCAACGAGCTGGCTGGCGGGCCGCGCGAGCATCTCGCCGGCCACCAGAGATGCCGTGGCATTTGCCGACGTCCCCCCGTGAACCTTGACGTTTTGTGGACGGTGGGCGATGTTGGCATCTTTCATTTGCCGCCATTTAGTTTCCTGAAGTCAAAAGTGCGAAAAAAAAGTCGAGGAGTGTTTATTTTTCTCTTTCAAGAAGAATATTTCCACCGTGGTTGAATGCTTCAACCTGGACGCCATCTGAATGAGAAGCTTTGTCTTTTATCTCTGTTTTCTTTGTTGGCCTTTCAAATGTCAGCCTGCTTAGGTGGGTCAGCGAGTGTGTTGCGTGTGCGATATTCGCCGACATAATCCGGTGACCTTTTTGTGAAATTAGCCCACACCACCACTGACCCACCACCCACACGCCGCCAACCAGCCACCTCCACCACACCACTCAGCCCGTCCCTTTCCACTCACCCACCCTCCACACACCACCACTCACCTAGCCCTCAAAACACACCACCACCAACCCACCGACCTCCACTCATCCCAAAACACACCACCACCAACCCACCGACCTCCACTCATCCCAAAACACACCACCACCACCACCACCACTCAACCCCCACACACCACTCTACCACACCCATCACCTCACCACTTACCCCCACATACCACCAACCACCACCACTCCCTTCCACATACCATTAACCC